GAGAGAGAGAGAGAGAGAGAGAGAGAGAGAGAGAGAGAGAGAGAGAGAGAGAGAGAGAGAGAGAGAGAGAGAGAGAGAGAGAAAGAGAGAGAGAAGCGATGTGTATAACAGAAAATAACGTAGTTATGCCTTCAACTTTACATTTTCTTTGATCCCATCATTCCAGCAGCAATGGTCTCACAGTTCGTTAACAGGGAAACTTTGAGAAAAGAATAAGTGAATAATGCTCTAAAATTCTCTTCTCATGGCATGGGTTTCTTCTGAAAACAGGCCTTTCGTTTTCCTTCTTACTCTCTACTCCTCTTTTTCGATCCTCCTCTCTATTTCTCCGACTATATCTATATATCTATCTCTGTTTGTCTTACTGTGTGTCAATATGTCTTTTTGTCAGTATCTGTCCGTCTGTATGTCTATATTTGTATGTCTGTCTGTTAATATCTATCCTTTTTCTGTCTATATCGGTCTGTCTATCTACATCCTTCTGTCTGTCTGTCTATAACTGTCTGTGTCCATATCTATATCTCTCTCTATATCTGTCTATCTTTCAATCTAGCTGTCTTATAATATATATAATATATATATATAATATATATTAGTGTGTGTGTGTGTGTGTGTGTGTGTGTGTGTGTGTGTGTGTGTGTGTGTGTGTGTGTGTGTGTGTGTGTGTGTGTGTGTGTGTGTGTGTGTGTGTGTGTGTATTATTTATAAATAGCCTTCATATGGCTGAATGTATGTCTGGCGAAACTGAATATTGTATTATGCAATGCATAACCTTTGTCATATCAATTTGTAATATATATATGAAGTATATGAAATACGTTTTTAGGTCAATAAATATATTGGCCTCGTTTCCCTCAAGAAATTGTAAACAATCTGAATTTTAAGACGGCTGACGGAGAGCAGAAAGGCCTGGAATGTTGACATATCTTTGCTTCCCTTGTTTGATAATACGTGTTAGTTTATCAGTAAGTCCAAAATAATGTACAGTTCTTTTAAATACATGTTTCATTGACTATAGTAAAGGAATAAGTGACATTCGGACAGGAAGGTTTCATACTTTTCAAGGAATAAGTGACATTCGGAAAGGAAAGTTTCATGCTTTTCAAGATATATTTATGTTCAACCAAGTTTGTGGGTGCCAAGGAGGCTATATTCCTTAGTGGGTGTGTATTGTGCATGAGGGTGAAAGTGTATGATACGATGTGTGCACTATTTTCTTTTTTAAGAGGAGAAGAATGAGTGCTGAGAAAGATTTTAGGCTATATTTTAATCAGTTGTTTTATTAAGGTAAGATAAGTATGAGACAAATTTTCTAGTTTGCAGTCTTGATTCACCAAAAATGTTCTGGATTCACCAGAAAATATCTTAGATATGTAAATATAGTACTCTCATTACTGACATGATAGGATGGTCTCCTTGGCTGGAAGTAGACTATAAAGTTAGCCTGGGGTATTTTTATTGCAAGAATTCCTGGAACTATAGCATGTTAAATGTAGGGCCGTATATTTCCTCTTATACTTATTAAAGACTTTGAAACTAACTTAAAAATGCTCAATATTTATGCAGGTATCGTATTAATTTTTAAAATATAATTTCAGCTTACTTCTGCAATTAATGGAGCCGCTGTTTGAGCTAATTGAGATCTGAGGATGCTGCTGCGACTATAAGAAGCTTGTCTGGAAATGTACAACTGTGACTGCATCTGATATTCTGACTGAGCAGTTGAAATGTCTGCCACACATTACTCATTTTCCAGTGTAGAAAATTCATGTAAGTATGTATATAATTGGGAACTTGTCAGTAAAAAGTTCTGTAATGCTCATTTATTATGCTTGCATATATCATTAGAAATATTTTTCATCATGTTTTCCTTTAGTGTTTTTAAAGTAAAGTTTATGCAATGTTAAGATTGATGAAAATAGTAACCTTATCACTTTTTCAGGTATGTTATATACTTCTCGCATGCAGTAATGCGAGACATTAAAATAATAGGCTTATTTGATATCTCTTTTCAGTTTTTGAAACTGTCATTATGGAATAAACTGCAGCTCATATATCATTTATTTTTAATTGATATTTTTGTTCCTTAATAAGATATTTCTCAAGGATATATCACTCTGATTTTGAAATAGGCCTGTATTCCATACATCAAACAAGGAAGCAGTAGCTTTTAGATTTGCTAATGAAATGAAATGAAACACAGCTACAGTAGGAGTGGAATACACTGGGTTTTATATTCTGTTTCATATTATCTTTTTATATATATTACATTGTTTGTATTTTAGTTTATGCATTGGTTTTGAATGAATGATGAGGATCACAGGGACAAATATGTGATGTAAGAAATGTTATAAAGGATTTTAAAAGATATATGTTTCTTCTGTAATTACTGTGTAATTTTATTTTTTACAGATCATTTCAGTGTCATAGATTCATTGCATATCTGTTTTCCAATTTCAGTTTCCCATGTATCCCTTGTATTAATCAACAATGTACCCTT